CACACTAATATCTGTATGTGTGTGTTTGTGTGTATATATAAATTTCAAAGATATGTTGTGTTGTTGTGTAATTTCATTGATTGTGGAGTCTTTACCAGCAGGATTTCTCTTCCAACAGGATTCACTGGAGGSTTTGTTGGGACGCCTTCTGACTTGGTAAATGTCAGGTAATTCACACTGAATACAGGTACTTTCTCTTTTCAGTCACCTCAGTGATATAACAAGTAAATGAGATCAGAATTTGTTTTTTATCCTAGAATGCAGAATGACATGAAGGTTTCACCAGAGCAGAGAAGAAAGTGAGTGGCATTCTAAAAATCTGCTCACTTCAGGTGAATTAAAATATTTCTTCAGTCTAACATTTACTTTATGCCTTTTTTTCAGCTATAAACATGCCATTGATGGACTCTACAGAGTCTTCAGAGAAGGTAAATGAGAAGCAGGATGTTATCAGGTTTGAACTTTGTGTTTATATTACAGTATGTTCAAACATTAATCTTTATCCTTTAATGCAGAGGGTGTAAGAAAACTGTTCTCAGGAGCTTCCATGGCCTCCAGCAGAGGAGCGCTGGTCACTGTAGGACAGGCAAGTCACATCGCTCAGTTATTGTGTCCCTAAAATATACCTGGAGCTTCCTGCAGCAAAACGMGCCATTTTATTGTTGAGCCATAATATTTCAGAACACCTGGTGTAATAAAACTCAAGTCCCAAACTTTGTTAGACTCTTTCTTTACCTTCCAGACATTTTATTCTTCTATTCTTATAAAAAAGAAATTAGCCAGAAGCGGAGCTTCTGCATTTGTGTTGCAGCTCTAACACTAGGGGGCGCCAAAGGTTGCCAGATTTAACACTTGGTTGGAGAAATTTCTGACAAACTGCTTTTGTGAAAAACATAAAAACTTGCGAAGTCTGTTTATTTGAAAGTTGTATTTTTTTAGATTCCACAGTTTTTTTTACACAAGAATATCTAAACATCTGAGTCGTATTTTACTTTTGTAAAATCTGAAAAGGAAAAACGATTACTAAGGGTAGATTCTTGAACTTTTCTCTTCAAGTTAAAACTTATTCTTTTCTAATTATTTTAGCATTTTTATGTTTTTCTTTTCCAGTTGGCATGTTATGACCAGGCCAAGCAGCTTGTATTAGGAACAGGCATGATGGGAGATAGCATCCTCACACACTTTCTTTCCAGCTTTATAGCTGTAAGTGTTTTTGTTTGCTGATTCAGTCACGTTTACAGAGCAGATTTTTCACTGATCTCTTGTGTAAATTATGTAGGGAGGCTGCGCCACCTTCCTCTGTCAACCTCTGGATGTACTGAAGACAAGGCTGATGAACTCAAAAGGAGAGTACACGGTGAGTGCGTTCCTCTGTCTGTCTGATGTTTATCCTCTGATTCTTTCACTTCAGGTTCCTAGACAGTCTTAAAGTCTGTTCAGTATTTTTCAGATTGAAAAAAAGAAAATAGAAAATGTAAAAACACTTGTGTTGCTGGATTTCATCTCTTTTCTAAACATAAAAAACAGATTTTGTAAAAAATAAACAACTAAAAACAAATGATTGTTTAGATTTATTACACTGTATAAAACATTTGGACATAGAGTGTTGTCCGAATGTTTTAAACCAGTCTTAATTTTTTTGGACTTTGCTTCTAAAATTTGTCTCAAAAGAAAAAGATGAAAAATATAAATCTGCACAATACTGTGGTCATGATTTATGTGTACATTATAAACTAAATATGTGCTGTARAAATACAAAGTTTGGAAAATGCAACATATGGTAAATAATGTTGCACATATAGTATTTAGGCTTGATGGGTTTCACATAATATCTTATAATGTACAAAGTTACTCTAACACTAAAGCATACAATCAGAACATTGTTTGACTAAAATGAACCTCWTGTATTAAAGAACTAGGGATGGGTACCGAATTCGATACTRTTATAAGTACTGACCGGATTCTGTCGGTACTACCYAGTACCTGTTCAKGTCAAACCAAAAGGTACCATGTTTCGYTACCTAAATGCATCATTGTGACRGTATTGGCGTAAGAGTGTAGGATTTTCCATGCTTGTTCTAAACACAGCATCGTGCAAGAGTGTAATGACGTCAGCAGCCGCTGCTTCAGTAAACAGAGTTCAGTCTGAACGTAGCTGAAAGCCTCGCAGCTCCTAAACTCACCGAACAGACCGCCTCTGAATTATCTGGTGGATTAATTACCTTGTGAGCACTACGTTCGCTTGCTCAAAGTAAATAAAGTACCGCCACTTTCTTTTTTAATCCACCATTAAACAGAGACCAGGGGTCGGATTTATAAAACTGGCGTACGCACAA